AGGAGAAAATAAATAAATAAGCAAGACAGACCGGAACATGAAATCACTGCACTTTTGTGAAGATCCCTGGACCTTACTATTCTGTGGGTTCCTTTTATTTTTATTTATTTTTTTGCGTTCCCTTTGGGGGGGGGCAAAGGAAAGAGAAGAGACTGCGTCTCCCCAAGGAAGGAGGTCTATGGTTACGGAAATGAGAGGCAGTTCCGATTTTAGGCAGGGGAAGGGGGGGGGTCCAAGCCGGGATCAGACCAAGGCCTGGTCTTTTAACCCTCTCCTAGCCCTTGCTGTGGTGGCGGAGACTTCTGAACTCACCCCTGACTGGGTGCTTCTTGAGGGTGGGGTTCCAGGATGTGGTTTCTGTGGGCATCCACGTGTTCTGAGGAAGCATGTGCCATAAAGGAGGCTTCTCTCCCCCCCCCGCCCCCAACTAGCTCCATTCCCGTTGCCCTTTCCGCTCCCCACATCTTGGGCGGGATGAGAATACTGTACACTGCATGACTGGAAAGATGGGGGCATTTTGCTTATGGGAGGATGCCTTGGAGTGGGAGCAAAGGAGGAATTATACCCACCATCATCCTCTCCTCCCTAGGCCTGTCATTGGGAACCTGAAAGGCCTCGACAGTTTTGGAAAATACAGGTTGGCTAGCCTTGTTTGTTACTGTTTTGTTTGCTTGCTTGCTTGCCTGCCTGCTTGCTTGGTGAAAGCTGGGGTGTGGGTTAGTTTTCCCCCTTCCTGAGAAGCGTGATGGGTAGCGTGACCTGACCAGAGTGTTCTTTGAGCTGGAGGCACCCCATTTATCTTGCCAGGAGAAGTGGGGGAGTGGCCTAGAAGGAAGGAAGCTGAGGAGTTCAGAATTGGGAATCCAGACTTCTGACATTTTAAAATACCTTTTCACTTATTGGTGATTCACTGTGTGACCTTGTGTGCATGTGTTGCTGAGCATAAAGCAAGGTGGGAGGGAGAAGGATACCTGGTCTCTTCCCTCCCCCCGCCGTGTCCTCTCTTTCTCCAAAGCTGAAACCTATTGCTGAAGGGTTCTCCCCGAAATGTGCAAATTGCAGGCCCTTTTAGGAGTCATGAGGCTGGAGGGCAACCTAAGGTAGAGACTGGAGTCTGCATTTGTGTTAGGAATGATGTTCCTTCCCTATGAGGGGTGGGAATCACTTTCGGGATCTCAGATTGTCCTGATCTTTCTGTGCCGCCTGTCGATTTCTCTCACAATGTGGGTGACATTTCCTCACCCCCTCATCATTGGTTGGGAGGAAATGTGTAGAAATGGATGAAGGTGGGGATGAATGAACGTGTTCTTTGGTAAGGGTCTGTCTGGGCCAAGAAGGTGCTTGTCCGGGTTACGGACACTCTTATGGCCCTATCCCAAAAGCCTGCTGAAGGACAGATTGCCAGCAATGCGGGCGTACTTCATGCCATCTCTGTTTCTAAGTAAATTGGCAGCTATTTTTCTAGGAGTGTTGTACTGTATATACATATGTACATACATTTTCCATCTCTGCTATTGTAATATACCCAGCTTTTCACATCTGCATACTGTTTGTTGTAAAATATTTCTTTTAAAATTAGGTTGGCACACCTCTGGCTGTTTTTGAATGGACTGGCAATTTTGTTTTGTGGATTTGGTGCTGTTCACAGATGCTGTTTTGGGAGACAGGGCAAAAACTAGTCTCCTTGTACTTGCAGGTGCAACTTTTGCAGTAGGTGTACAAGCTTATTCTGAGTGTGTACTTTAATTTGAATGATAGCTAGTATATGGATGTATGGGTCTGAGTTTGGATAATGGTAACTGTGTGTGGTCAGGTACAGTAGTGAGTTTGTTCTTTGCAGACTGATGCTTTTTGGGGTCATGTAAAAAATACTACAAGTAATATAGTGATATTGGTAGTATGTCGCTAGAAGTGACATGTGTATGATGGTGATGTTGGCCTTACAATATATACATCTGGAGAACTTCAGATTTAAATTCTGTATTGAAAGCCAGCATCATCAACATATGCATTATAAATGCATTGTAATCATGTGGTCTCAAGTTAATTTTGACTTACGGTGATCCTTTTCAGAATTTTGCAGGTAGAGGGTACTCAGAGGTGGTTTACCCTTCCCTTCTTCCGGGGCACCCTGGGACTGTGCAGCTTGCCCCCAAGGCCACACAGGCTGGCTATACTCACAGGAGGCAAAGTAGGGAAACCGAACTCCCAACCTCTTGGCCCCACAGCCAGATGCCTAAACCACTAAGCTATTCAGCCTGCTAAATGCATTACAAAGATTGTAATGTTGATTGTACTGTAGTTTCATACGTTGTGTTCAAGACTGGGGCGCCAGCCTATCTTCATCTGGCCACATACGTTGAGAATCCCACTGTATTTCTGGCCTATTTACAACTCCCTACACTTAGACAGGATGCTGGAGAATGTGTATGGTTGTATCTCAGCTCCAGGTGTTTCTGCATGAAGTTGACTTCAGTCTGCTTACAGGACAGAGAATGCTTTTGTCTTCTTGGTGTACCAGGACATGAATAGGGGGAAGCACGACCCTGTTGGTTCTGCTTCTTCTTTCTCAGTGGCACCAACTCTGGTATCCCATCTTTGATGTCTCTCTGTGAAAAGACTTCGAGGCACAGTTTCACACTTGCTCTAGGGTCTTCTCAGAGGGTCAGTCTTAACAGTCCTAAAATGCATTGCTGGGGGACTGGGACTGTTAGCCTCAGGGTTTGAGCTTGTCCTCCATGCTATTTGATATATACTGTACATATAACCTCTGGGATGGTTTATTCAGTGCTTGGGAGTTTGATGTCCCCGTAAGCTGATGACTTATCTCTCCCTTCTCTCTAAGGAAGCTGCTCTGGTTCTGAACCAATGTCTGGTGTTGTTAAAGGCTGGGGTGAAAATAAACAACTTTAAACTTACCCCAAACAAGGCAGAGGTGGTCCTATGTAGTAGAAAGATGTTGTGAAGGAATAAGTAACCAATCCATTCTGGATGGAGTCATGCACCTCTTGGAGATTAGTGTGTGTGGTTTGGATTCACTGCTGGATTTGACCCTGATCCTGGATGCCCATATGTTGGTGGCAGCCAGGAGTACATTTCCAGTTGAGCTGGTGCTCAAGCAGGGATGTCCATAGGTACTTGGAGATGTCTGGTCATAGTGAGACCTCTCTTAGTTACATATCATTTAGGTGGCAATGAGAGATGCTTGGTGGAGCAGCCTTTGAAAAAGGTTTGGAAACATCACATAATTTAGAATGCTGGAGCCTGACTGCCAATCAGGGATAGTCACAAGGTGCATGTGATTTTTATTTTATTTTATTCGGTAGCAATAATTTCATTAGCTATATTTCTGGGCAGCCGTTATAAATCTCTGTATGACTTGGAACCTGGCTCTTTGAAAGACTGTCTTCCCCCTTGTGAACCTCCCTGGCTTCCACCTCCCATTATTCGAAGCGTGATGGGTGGGAACATGAAAGAGGGCTTTCTCTGTTGCCTTTCTCAGGATCTGGAGCTTCCTGCCAAGGGACGCCTAGCTGGCTCCCTGTGTCTTGTCCTTCTGCCCCAGGCAAATATATGTTTAATCAGGCAGGTGTGTAGGCCTTTGACAAGCTGGTCTGTTGTGGAAGGAGGCATGGCTGGTTAGGTGTTAGTTAAATCTTTTCATTATGTCTCTGGCTGATTTTTTTTTAAAATTACATTTTAATCAAGAGTTTGTTCTCGATCTGTATCTGGTTATTGTTAGTTGCTTCAGCACAAGTTTGGAGGGGAAAGGCAGGCTATGCATTCAAAAATAAATAATGCACAAATGTGTGCATGTGTGGTCTTCTTTTGTGTACCCATCTCCCCATTCGCATGAGCAGTGTAGCACAGACACCGACAACTGACAGATGCTGTGATATATGCAGATATATTGATTGTTTGTATCCTGAGAAGTCACCTTAGCGGCTGGTTTGCATATTAACGTTGTTCCTGTGAATTTAGGTACAGAAATGATGGCTATGTTCACAAAGTGGCTTCAGCAGCATAATGATTCCCCACTGTGCCTCCTTGACAGGGGCCGGACTTGATGATCCATAAGGTCCCTACCGGCTCTGCAGTTCTGATATTATTATATTATTATTATAACATGAACATTGACCTTTTCTGAATGGAATGCCTGTGAAATTTGTAGATAATGTTCCCTGGGTTTCTGGGTTATGTCTGTGCATTCCATCTTGTGGCTTTTCAGGGCCTGCTCTGAAGGCAGTATAAAACTAAGCTCTCCCCTAAAGCGGATGGGGGTGGGGGGTGGCAGTTACGTGACTGTGTCTGCCCGGAAGTGAAGGGAATTTTGTACATCACAATGTGCTGACTCTCTGCCGTTACTTTTTGCTAATGTGTGGAAATACTCTCGGCTGGAAACGTAGCTATTTATACTCAATGTGATTTCTTGGTCATTAGACTGTGGGTCATTAAAAAGAATTAAAAGTTGTGCAGCCATTGTTAAAAGTTTTCATAAATATCGGGAGATAATAATCTGAACCAAAAGATATTTATTTATTTCCTGTTTAATTTTAATTTTACTCTTAATGCAAGGTATTCTAGTTAATGTACTTTTTTCTTCCTTCCTCTGCTTCCTTACTATGTATTTCTTCAAGACACTTTAGGTAGTTCAACCCAGCCATCTGATTTTATCCTGTGTGTTTTCAGCTGGGAGAGCATAACTGGCCACAGATTATTCAGTGAGCTCCGTGTCTGGAGTGGAAACATATACATATCTTATGTACTGAATTCAGAATAATCAGCTTGTAGTACTTCCTTCCTTCCTTTGTGCTCCAGATTGGTCCGCTCACTTTCTAATCCCTCCTCTTCTTCTGATCATCACCTGTGCATTTTTTCATTTATCCTTCTATCCATCTTACCTTCCAACTTAGAAAATAAATTACTGCCAACATAAGAACAGTAGCAAAATTGTCCCTTGGTTTGGTTTGGGGAGATATGTGCTAGGGGCTAGGACACTGCGCCATAGAAATCCGTAGTCCAACTTTGAACACCATTATAAATTCACTAAGGTTACTGTATTTGCTGGCGTATAAGACTACTTTTTTGCCCTGAAAAACATGCCTCCAAGTGGGGAGGGTCGTCTTATATGCCGGGTGCACTTCAGTTGGGATAGACATAGCTGCCCATAGTGGACTTCCAATGCTCGCCCGGTGCCCATAGTAGCCTCCCAATGCCTGCCCACCTCATTCTACATACCGTCCAGTGTCGCGCGGTATCCAGTGCGGCCGTGGCGAGCATCAGCAGCAAGACAGGGGTGCCAGCCTTTTCGATGTGACCGGCCCGTTCTGCTCGGTGGGAAGCAGCGGCACTTCAGCCCGCCCCTTGTCTATGCAGAGCTCACACATGCACACTTGTGCACTAGTGCTGGTCACAGGGAGATGCAGGGGCAGGCTGGAGGCACTGCAGTCGTGCTGCAGCCTTACAATGGTGACAATGAATAGCACCTTTTATTTGGTGTGTGGAAGGTGTGCGGAAGAGGGGGTAGTCTTATACGGCGAGTATATAACAAACTATATTTTGAGTGGAAATGTTGTAGTATGCCGGCAAATACGGTATTTCTCTTCCCCCATCCCTTTTTAGAAACTGCCATCTTCG